ACTCTATTTTCTCTAGTTTTACTTACATTTTCTTTACTTAGCTATTTCATTAGAATTTTTCTTATTTTCTTGCTTTTCTAGTATATTTTGTATTTTTCTTCTTTACTTGTTTAATTTCCTATGTTTATAGGAAGTTGGTGATATTTGAGAATCTTAAATGTTCCCTTCTCGGAGTTCAAGTCAAGAGAAGGGGTCCCATTTCTCCATTTGAAGCCTAAGAGCAAGGAGTTTAAGAGTTTGGTCATTCAAGTTGTGCCTTCATTTAGTGTGGGCATGAAGGAGTCGTGTCGAACCCACTAAGAAGCGCCTATTGTATCATGGCTCATTCGGAGCTCGTGAGGACAAGTTCTGCCTCACCAAGGGATCTCCCCTGCTCCAGCTGCGCGGGCGCGTACGAGAGGGGAGCGGCCGCGCCAGGTTGCTGCGCGGCCACGCGAGACCCTGCAGCGACCGCACCCCTTCTTCTCCTTGCTCCGTACCCTTTTTGTAGCGGCCGCGCATGCTTTTGATGGGCCACGCTCTTTGAGGTCATTTTTAGAACGTCTGACTAACTTCCCTTTAGTTAGTTTTACTATATAATGTTTTTCTAATTTTTAGAGAGAGAATTAATTAGAAATTAAATTAGATTAGAACTGTTGATGAAATTTTAGAGAGAGAAGCTCTAGATTTTGGATGATTGTTCTTGGATTTTTAAAGAGAGAAACTTGATGATGTTAATGAATGCTATTTTAAATCTTCTACTTCTTTGATTTTGATCAAGGTTTTGTATGAATTCTTTACCTTAAATTTAATTTGATGTTTGATTTTTGAATTTGAGATGAATTACTTGTTATTTGGTTAATTAGATTTTGATAAATTTTTATTACTTTGATGATGATGAAATTTGTGATTGATTTAGCTTTCTTGTTTGAATTTGTAATGAGTAGTGAGTAGTTTTCTTGTTAGGGGTAGGGTCAAGCATTAACATGTGATATTTCATGATTAATTAGGAGAATTTGATTAATCATCTTTGTGCTTAAATTGGTTAGTGAAATTTGTGCATGTGTTCGATAACTTGAGGAGTGATCAACCTCAACTATCGTGCTAGATTGCATATTAGGTTTCAATGACACGAACAATTGGTTTGTAATCTATTATTATCGATTGAGCTTAATTTGTGATATTCCTATTGGGGTCATTTGTAGAGACATCTAGCTTGACCCTAGAAATAGCCTATTAAGTGATTTTGATTGCATTTATTTCTTTCCTTCGCGTTGTATGATCGATCGATTTCCTTCCCAAATAGCATGTATATCAAGAGTTCATGTGAATTCCAATCCCCTAGCATCCTTTATATTTTCTTGTAATTGTTTGATTGATTTAATCTCCATTAGTATAACCAACACACTCCCTAGCTTTCGGAATAACTTAGCATCGACCTTAGTACTCCCTCATTCCCTTGGGATTTGACCTAGACTTACCCTATACCTCGGGTTGGTTTAGTTTCATAAATATCTTTTTGGCCGGGAATTCTAGACCCCAACAACCTAGGTTTACCTTGCGTCAAAAAATGGCGTCGTTGCCAGGGAAGGAATGATGATTGCTATTGTTGTTTGAGTCTATTCCATTTATTTGAAAAATACAAAAAGATTTTCTTTCTTTTACGCTACATTTATAGTCGTGCTACTAATAATTTCTTTTGAGATTGTGTGTATATAGCACGAGGTTGTTCTCTATTGCGAATTGAAGCATTGGAGAAAATTCAAGAGTGGCATTAAAGGAAATAGGAGTTCCGGGAGCTTATAGGTATAAGAGCGGGATTGATCTACCTACGACACCGGCAAATGATTTCGAGATAAGACCCGGCATGATTACTTTGATTGAGAGGCGACAATATAGTGGTGCTAAGTTGAGAGCCCTCTCAACCACCTTACAGAATTTGATTAATATTGCAATACAATTAAGGTGAACGGGGTTTCTCAAGAATTCATCCGCCTAAAGCTTTTTCCCTTCTCCCTTATCGGGCGTGCTCTATAATGGTTAGACAAGGAGGTGAAGCCTAGTTCTTTGACAACTTGGGATGAGGTTACTAAAGAATTCCTATCCCGCTTCTATCCACAAAAGAAAATGGCCGAGGCGAGAGCCCTCATTCAAGGTTTCAAGAAAAAGCCAAGCGAGAGTCTTTATGAGGCGTGGGAAAGGTACAAGGAGTACCAAAGATAATTTATTCATCATGGAATTCCAACGTACCAAATCATTCAAATTTTCTATGGAGGATTGAGTCCTCAAGGAAAGTCTTTCTTGGATGCCGGTGTCGGAGGCCCTATCATGAATAAAACGGAGAATGAAGTAGTAGATGTCATTGAAGACGTGGTTAGACACTACATGGATTGTCAAGAGGGGGAGAAAGAGTTGACAAGCAAAGGAGGTGTATCGGTGTATTAGGTTGACAACATCAATGCCATAAACAACTTGTCTTCGCAAATTTCAGAACTAGGAAAGGAAATAATCACAATCAAGGCTAAGCTTGAGATTGCTTCTTCTAAAGTTCCGGTTCATCCCTCCCAAAATAAGGGGAGAGGTACATTTCCTAACTCAAATCCCTTTCCCTCTTCTAGCAACATGTTTAGTGGTTGTATGTATTGTGATTTGTGTGAATCATATGACCATGATGCTTCAATTTTTCCTAATGCTTCTTTTAATGGATATGATGATTATGATGAAAATGAGAATGAACATGTGAACTTTGTGTCTAATAATAATGTTGTACCTAGATTTATAGTCAAAGATATAATAAAAATGGGAATTACAATAATGGGAATTTTTAAAGTTATAACCATAATGGGGGTTATAGAAACCGAAGAATTAGAGGTTTCCAAGGCAACTATAACCATCAAGGTTATAGCAATTAAAACCAAGTTAGAAGCAATTGGAGTAACAATCAAAATAGGGAAAATTTTCAAAACAATTGTAAAAAAGGTCTCCCACCCAGTTTTACTCCAAAGGCTTAAATTAAATATGATAGTTCTTATAGCTAATCATCTCTTTCAAGAGGTAGTTGTAGCTAGGAGGATGTCATTGAAAATCAAATCAAGGTATTGAACACTTACATGTTATCTAGTAAAAAGAAGTTTAATGACATGATGGCTTATAGGAAGATGTTAGAGAATCAAATTTTTCAGTTGAAAAATTCTTTGAAAGTGCCTGCTAGCCCTTCTTCACTATCATCTCAAGGTGTATATCCTAAAACACCAATCAATTCCATAGTGACAAGGAGTGGTAGGATTCTTGAGAGTGTAGTTCCTAGGGAGAGTGAGGGTAATGAGAGTCCTAAGGAGATTTTGGTTGAGGATAAGGAAGAAAGAATCTATTTGAAAAAATATGAGGTTGAAAAACCAATTCAGAAATAAAAAGAGAAAGTAAGAGAAGTTATCAAGCCTAAGCTCCCATACCCCCAAAAGTTTAATAGGCATAAATTAAATGAACAATTTGGCAAATTCATAGAGATTCTTAGGCAACTTCATCTTACCCTCCCATTCACCAATGTCATTGACTAAATGCCGAGTTATGCAAAATTACTTAAGGACATTTTGAGTGGGAGGAAAACTTGTGATATGGTGAAAACGGTTAGCTTGACCGAGAATTGTAGTGCTATCATAATGAACAAGATGCCGCCTAAGTTGAAGGATCCCAGATATTTCTCTATCCGTTTTACTATCAACAAGACTCAAATTGATAATGCCTTGTGTGACTTAGGAGCTAGTGTTAGCCTTATGCCATACTCGGTCTATCAAAGACTTGAGCTAAGAGAACTTTTACCTACCAAAATTACCATACAATTAGATGATAGGTCCATTAAAATCCCCAAAGGTAGGGTAGAGGATGTTACCTTAAGGGTAAGGAAATTTTCGATCCTGGTAGATTTTGTTGTGCTTGATATGGATGAAGATCCAATATCCCCATCATTCTAGGTAGACCCTTCCTTGCTAAATCGAGGGCTTTGATCGATGTCAAAAGTGCTAAAATTTCTCTAAAAGTGAGGGAAGAAGAGATTGAGTTTGATTTGAATGAGAGTATGCAATACCCTTCCACTTATTTAGAGAATTGTATGAGAATTGAAATTTTAGATGACATTTTTAATTCCATGCATGAGCACTTGATCACCTCCAATGATCGTCTTAAGTGTGTTTTGTTGAACAAAGAAAAGATAGGGGAGCATGGCAAAGAAATGGCTTCCCTTGAAAGAGTCATTTATGAGAGCTTGGAAGGAAGTGATGAGTAAATGTGCATGAAGATCTCAAGCCAAGATGCTTTGCAAGTGGCCTCAACCAAGGATAGTAAAGGTGTTCCAATGGTAGAGCTTAAACCTTTCTCATCACACCTTAGGTATGAGTTTTTATGCCCAAACTCTACTTATCACGTGATCGTTAGTGCATCTTTGAGCAAGAGCCAAGCTCAAGAGTTATGTGATTTCTTGAGAAGGCACCAAGGTGCTTTAGGATATACCATTAATGACATTAAGGGTATAAACCCTTGAGGACGACGTTCTTTCTTTTATTGAGAGGCAACGGAAGCTACATTGCCAAATGGGAGAGGTAGTGAAGAAGGAGATCACCAAACTTTTGGATGCGGAAATTATATTCCTCATCTCAAGCTCTAGGTGGGTCTCCCCCGTTCATGTTGTCCCAAAGAAAGGAGGAATAACCGTCGTTGAGAATCAGGAAGGTGAGCTCATTCCGACGAGGACAGTCATGAGATGGAGGATGTGTATAGACTATAAACGTCTAAACACGTCTACAAAGAAAGAGCACTTCCCCCTTCCTTTTATTAATCAAATGCTTGAGAGACTAACAAGGCACAAATTCTATTGTTTTCTTGATGGTTATTAGGGATTTTTTCCAAATCCCTATCCACCCATATGACCAAGAGAAAACAACCTTCACTTGTCCATATGAAACATTTTCTTATAGGAGAATGTCGTTTGACTGTTAAATGCTCCCGCAACATTTCAAAGATGCATGATGAGTATATTTGGAGATATGTTGGAGGAGGAAATGGAGGTGTTTACGGACGATTTCTCTGTTGGAGGTGTTTCATTTGAGGCATGCCTTGAAAACCTTGAGAAATGTCTAGCAAGGTTTGAGACGGTGAACTTGGTTTTGAATTGGAAGAAGTGTCATTTCATGGCGGAGGAAGGCATAGTCCTAGGCCAAAAAATTTCTCACAAGGGAATAGAGGTAAATAAAGTTAAAATTGAGGATATTGAAAAGCTTCCACCTCCGGTCAATGTGAATGGAGTGAGATCTTTCTTAGGGTATGCCGGGTTTCATAAAAGATTCATCAAGGATTTCTCACTCATTGCAAAGCCCCTCAATGATCTTCTTCAAAAGGATGCCGAGTTTGTATTTGATGATAAGTGTTTGGAAGCATTCAATATGTTAAAGAAGGCTCTAACTCCTATTGTTCAAGCCCTAAGATGGGATTTACCATTTGAGTTGATGTGTCATGCGAGTGATTCGGAAATTGGAAGTGTCTTGGGTCAAAGAGTGGATAAAAAGTTTCATGTTATCTACTATATGTCAAAAAGACCCTTAATGGAGCTCAAAGGAATTATACAACAACAGAGAAGGAGTTCTTCGCAATAATATTATTTTGAGAAGATCCGTTATTACTTATTGGGCTCTAAGACTATTGTTTTCACGGATCATGCGGCTCTTAAATATCTCTTTGCGAGGAAGGAATCAAAGCCAAGGTTGATTCGTTTGGTGCTCAAACTTCAAACTTCAAACTTTTGACATTGATATTAGAGATAAAAAAAGGAGCGGAAAATGTTGTGGCGAACCATCTCTCTTGCCTTGACAATTCTCAAATTCTAGATGATAGGATGCTTGATGAATCCTTATATGCCATTATGTAAAAGAAATTTTATGGTTTGCCGATTTGGTGAACTATATTGCATGTGGAGAGTTCCCGCCTTCATTCTCCAAAAATAAAAAGAAGAAGCTCAAGAGAGAGGCTAGGCATTATTTGTGGGATGAACCCATTCTGTACAAAAGAGGAACTGATGGTTTTCTTAGCTGTTGTGTTCCAAATGAGGAGGTTCCAAGTGTGTTTAAAATGTGCCATTCGGACCCTAGTGGTGGTCATATGGGTGTTTTTAAAACCGCTACTATGATTCTTCAAAGTGGTTTGTGGTGGCCTCATCTCTTTAAGGACACATGAGGTTTTGTTAAGACATGTGATTGATGCCAACGTACCGGGAATATCTCAAGGTGCAATGAAATGCCTCAACAACCAATCCTTGAGTTAAAAGTTTCTTATGTTTAGGGAATTGATTTCATGGGACCATTTCCTTCTTCCTATGGGAATCAATACATCCTTGTGGCGATGGATTATGTGTGAAAATGGGTTGAGGCCATTTCCCCCCCAACAAATGACCACAAGGTGGTGATGAAATTGTTTAAGAAAATCACTTTTCCACGGTTCGACCCATGTCCCCAAAGTGATCATCAACGCTTTGGCCTCCTTTATCATCCTCAAACAAGCGGTCAAGTCGAGGTGTCAAATCGTCAAATTAAGTTGATTCTCGAGAAGATAGTTGCTAGGAATAGAAAGGATTGGGCAGAAAAACTTGATGATGCTTTGTGGGCATATCAAACGACATTTAAACTTCTATTGGCACCACTCTGTATCATCTTTTAAATTGAAAATCTTGCCATCTTCCGGTAGAACATGAACATCGTGCCCTTTATGCGATTAAGAAAATCAACTTTGACTTGGCAAGTGCGGTAGAGCAACGGTGGTTAGATCTTAATGAATTGAAGGAGCTTTTCCTTGATGCATATGATTGTGCTAGCAATTACAAAGCTCGTTCTAAGGAAGTTCATGACAAGATTATAGAGAAAAAAGAGTTTTGTGTAGGTGACAAGGTGCTCCTCTACAATTCCAAGATGAAATTATTCCCCAGAAAGCTAATGTCTAGATGGAGTGGTCCTTTCACGGTGTAAGACGTTTTTCCTAATGGAGTTGTGGAAATTCATTCAATGGATTCATCACCCTCTTTCAAAGTCAATGACGATAGACTCAAGCATTACTATGATGGAGCTTTTGTTCGAAGTAATTCATAACATGACCCTCTATGATCCACTTTGAGGGGTGGGGAACGTCAAGCTAATGACGTTAAACAAGCCCTTCTCGAGAGGAAACCCAATTTCTAACATTCTTTCCATTTCCTTTTGTGATTTTCTTTTTCTTCTTGTCAATTTTATACTAACCTCTTTTCTTTGCTATTTGCGATTTAGGTAACTTAGAGAAGATGGAGGATAATTTCCAAGCAATGTTAATAGCAAATTTTGAAAATTGAAGTCTCTTAGAACTTGTTGGAAGGATTAGGAAAATTAGAGCATTGGTGGGTTCAAGGTGGTGGGCACATGATTTGTGGATGTTGAACCCGCTGAAATTGGGTTTAGTTCCTACCCAATTTAGTATCGATCATTGTCATGGATTTTATTTGCACCGTTGTGCGCACCTTATTTTGATCAAGCTCGAGGCAACCCAGAAGTGCGCGGGCGTGCTAATGACAGGCGCAGACGCTCCAACTTGGTGCGCTCCCCTTAAGCGCACTCCTTTCTCTCTTTTTCCCTCTCTTATCTCTTTTACTTCATTTTCTTTCTGAGTAGTGTTCAAGCATTCTCTAATTTGGTAGCTATATTTCAGCATATAATCTTCATTTTTCACCTTTCTTTGTTGATAATTACTTCAAACTTCTCATTTTTATGCTCTGGATTAATTTTCTCTCTTGAAAATTGAGAATTTGGGTATTGTTGATTGGGGTTTTTGAGCTTTTCAAGGTTGGGATTAGTTGGCTTTAGTTTTTATTAGTTCTCCATTTCATTTCAATCAACACTTCATTCATGTTATGAATTGTCTATTCATTTTGAAATTCATGTTTAATTTCACACCTTATTTTTGTGTCATTGATTTTGAATGTCATGGAGTACTCTTTAATTGTGGTTCAATTGTTCCTATCATACACCCTCATATTTTGCATTCATGATGATTATTGGTGAATTTGTCAACTTGTGATGCTATAATTTTGCTTGATATTGCTATTATTTTGCTATCTTCATTGTTAATTTTCACTTTTTTTTAATGAGGTCATAAGGCTCATGAATGTTGATTGGCCTTTTTGTATGATGATGTTGCTTACTCCTTGTGAATCCTTGCTCACATTATGCTTTGATTGTGCTTGAATCATCTTTGTGGAACTTGTTTTTCACTGTAGCTCAATACTTGTGGTGGATTCATTGTTTTGGTTTATGCAACTTATTGTACGACCTATCTCTTTCCAATTTCTGATATATTGCATTAGATTATTTGTAGATGGCTCCGCTTTTTCGTCCCAAGCGATCCCGAAGTTCTAACTCACGTGTGGTGGTGCCTCCACCACCGAACGTGAGTGAAACCTATGGCATTGAGTTCTCAAAGGAGAAGCATTGGGATAATTTTTTTCGTCTCTCCTCTCAAAAGCTTTTTTCCACTAGATTCTATGATCGTTCGACAACCTCACTTCTTGGCATTGATGAAGATGTAAGGAGATTAGCTAGAAATCTTGGATTGGAGGAATTTATTGGCTTGAATTCCCCGACTTATGCTCGCCTCTCTTATAAATTTATTGCTTCTCTTGAATTGCTTGAGGAAAAGGTGGATGGTGAGACTATTACTACTTTGACATTCTAATTGTTCAACAATGACCATTCCATTCCTTTATCTTTCTTTAAAGAGGTTTTCAAGCTTCCTTCTCCTTTGAATGGCAATGATTTTATTTATCTGGATTTTGATGAGTTGCAAGACAAGCATGGCCATAATGAAGCTAAATGGTGGCGGGAGATCTCTGTTGAGGTTTCTTACCAACCTAAATACTCTAAAGCGGCTTCGATAGTTCATCCGGCCTTGAGATATTTCAATCTATTTCTCACATATGCCTTTTTCACAAAAGAATCTCTTGATGCTATTTCGAGAGAAGAGCTGAGTTGGTTTTGGCTAGAGGCTAACCTAGATGATGAAATTCAAGTTATCTATTTTGGGACTTGGTTGATAGATCTGTTCATCGACATTCGAGATGGTGTTTTCCTCTCGGGAAGCATCCAAATGGTTTTTTTATTAACAATTTAGCCCTTTCTCTCAACAAGAAATACGAGCAATTGATATTGTCCCTTGAGCCTATTAGGGATCGAAGAGAAAAGTCCCCCTTGGATCTCCTCAACATTTATGTTCTAATCAATCAGAAATTTTTTGAGCGGACTACTAAGGACAACTGGTTCATTTGGAAGGTCTCTCGGGTAATGGATTGGTGCCCCTTCCCTCAGCTCGAGGCCTTTTCTACATGCTCCGCCATTCTCCCTTGGTACCCTAGAAAGCATCCCATTGACCCCGCTCTCAAGCGATCTCCTCGGTCCAATCTCCGAGCTACTTCTTGTGTTCCCCTCAACACTATCCCTCTAGAGTTGCCCCTGGTTGAACGGGGAGGTATGCCTATACGTCCTTCTACTTCCTCTACTATGCTTGAATTATCCACTTTGCATGCCAAGCTAGATTCTATTGCTAATGTTTTGTATTCTATGCCTTTGGGGCGAGATCTATCTCATAGCTATGATTTCCATGCCAACCAAATATATGATTATCTTTTGAGGAGGGGGGGATTGACCCTTACTTGAACTACCCATACCTCCCGGTCTAACAAGGACCTAACCCTCAATGGGAACCCTTTGACCCATCCGTCGGTCCTAGACCTTGTTATCCTTATTGGGAGGAACCTTATATGCCTCCCCATGTCATTAAGGGACCTCTCCGAACTCTTACGATTATAAGAGGTCGGGAGGATGTGACTTTGCTTATGACCCGGCTAACCTTAACCCATTCCCTAATCCCGAGACTTTTAGCCGATGGGGAGTTTCGGGTGAGCCGGTTCTAGATGATTGGTTCCACTTCTTTGCTAGGGACAAGGCCATGAGGGAGAGTAGATTGAAGGTTAGGGGCCTTATGGATGAGGATGATGTCATTAGCCATGTTTCTTCTGAGGTTGGTGAGGGGAGCACTCATTCTAACCCTTACCACAGTGCCGAATGATGCCATTTTGGCTACCCTTCCTTTTATGCTCATTTGCTTTTCTGTTGATTATGGCAGCTTGTTGCTTGGTTTTGGCTTTGGGGGGGGGGGGTAGCTCACTTTAGGCTTGGAAGAGTATTCTTATGTTTGTTATGCTTCATTTGTTTCTCCCTTGTTTCTATGGTTCACAATGATTTTGTCTTCGACTTAGTGTCTCTTTCTGATGATGACTTTTGTTAATTTCTTTTTATTGCGATTGTTTTGTGCTGATGATTTACGATTTAGATCTCTGTCTGATGATGATGATATGTTTTTGGTCTATTTCTTGACCATTGTTTGCATAATGGTTGATTATTTTCTAGATAGATGAGATTTCTCTTTGCTTTATGATTCTCTTTCTCTAATTCTTTGATCATTTTTGCCTCAGTTTTGATGTTGTGTGTTTTTGTTTGAAAGTTACTAACATTTTCTTTTTGTATATAGCTTTTTATTTCTCTCTTATGTTATCCGTGATTTTGCTTTTAGAGAATGATGAAGG